AAACTGGTGCTACAGGATTTTGAGCTAGTGTTATAAGATAGGGAATTTCCTAAAATGTACCGACTTTCAAAGGCTTGCATTCGGTAACCCCATAAAAAATCGTGTCAAACTTTAGATATTCCAATGTAAATTTGGCCGTTCTTTTCATTTATATTTGTTTTCACTTATGAAAATGTCTCAATTATGTGTAAAATAACGATTTTCCCCAGTTTTTATTTCGGAAATTTGCACTAGACAGGGAGTCAGCTGATTCACTCAACCGTAACGAGCTGGCAACAACACAGCCAACTGATGAGATTGGTCGTCGCGAGCGGAAGATTGAAAAAATTAGGACTGGCGAAAATATTCAATTAATAATATAATAAGTCGAAGGCATTTTTGAAGAATCAATCTTTCAAAAAGATATGTTTGCTGGTTTGGATAAGGAAGTCTTGGAAGTGGTGATCTTAATAGTGGCGTTAAATAGGTTTGTTTAATACCAACTTGTCTTACCTGTGTAGGCATAGCCTAGCATTTAGTGCAGTACCTGTATTACTGTATGTATGTAGAGAATACGGAATACTAGGGCCTACTCTACTGCCTGGCGCGGCCTAGGCCCCGGTCCCTAGTTTAGGCCCAAGCATACAAACTATATAATAATAATATTTCAAACATTAGACAAACAAACAACACTATTTTAAATAAAGTACATTAATTTACATGTTAATTATTAGGTCCATGGAACTATCTAGGACCTACTACTACGGTACTACTACAGCATTACTAAAATGCCAGTTTATTCGTCGTGGAATTTGGATGATACCTTGAAAACTAGCTCAAATTTGCGCGGAAAATGGCTTGGAAAAATGTGCACAGAACTTAACTTCTGCATGATACATTGACAATGGTTATATACAGTATTCAGATTAGTTCAAAGACTAATTTTCGGCATTCTGCTCGGAAATACAACCACCTGCCTTAGGCGTGGCCCTGTCGGTTCCATGCTGGATCAAAAACTAGTAGAGGGTCAAATGTCCAGCCATTTTGATGGTCAAAATACAGGGGCATTATTATTACTGTACATTAGAAAAGATTGAGAAACAAGATAGTCTATTATTTGTCTTCATTTGTAATTTTTAAAATAATTTTTATTTTTATATTACAAAAAAGTATCATATTAATGAAGTAATAAATTCTATTCTAAATAATTAGGTCGCGGCTATGTTACACCACTTTGCAATGCATTTGAATATGGGCTTTTCACAGTGATGGTTAATATATATTTTCAATAAAAATTATCATTGATGATTAGTGCGAGAATGATTATAATTCCTTATAACGATATTGTATCAATACTAATTGTTTTTGAATGGTGTAAGAAGTGTCACTCTGATTTTTTTTTAACTAGTCTGTTCAAACTTTTTATTGTACTTCTTACAGGAAATGCCGACATGTTGGACATCGATGGCTTTCATTTGGTAGGTGTTTAACAGGCTAAAGAAAACGGGTCATCCCATCTTGCACTGTGTGGGCGATTAGGGACAAGTTCCCAGAAGCTTTGAAGACTGCCCTGGGTTTTTTGATGCTATAGAAGATGATGAAATAAACTTTGTGTTGGAAGAATTATTTATAAATTGTTATGGAAGATACCTGATAAGTCCATCCTCATTAATGCAACAGATCTTATGTAATAAGACCTAGTCTGTAATTGAAATTGTTGTTATTGATGCGGATAGGCCAGCAAAGTTGATTTCAAGAACATTTTGTTGTTAAGTACAGTACAATGTTTTTTGTATCTTCCCCACTCTCGTCTCATATTTTTAAATTTTAAGCTAATACAGTATATATATGTAACTTGTTCTTCTCTATTCTTTACATTGGTATAAACTACAGTAACTATAAATCCATATATTTAATATTTTGATAATAAATAGTGTGTAAAATGCAGTGATATATAATTTGTAATACCTGACTGCTTCAATGTTGCTTTATTCTGTGTACAGTAAAACAATTTTATATTAACTGTGAGAAAATACACTTGTAATAAATCATTTGCCATGTACAAGGATGATAAATTGTGTTTCAAAATATTTATTTAGTAACACCAGTAGTCTTGAATTTACTGAATGTACAACAATAACTAAGTGAAGCACCAAAAATATGGATGTTGAATATCATCATGCCGAATTGTTGTGTTTTCCATTACCGTAAGTGCAAGTTAAATTTTGTTAGTCGAACAATTTCTCAATGGCATTTTGGATATGACAAAGCAAGTTCAACTATATATTTTAAAATACTAAACAAAAAATGGTGTGTAGCAAAAAAAATTGAAGCTTTCTCTTAAATTCTAATACCAAACTGATCAGCATGCAGACATAGGCACAAGTCCAGGCATTAAAAAATAAGCAGTTTCATAGAATAACTTTACACAAGACTGTACAAAGCCATACATTAAAATAGTTGTTCCTGTATATATTGAGCCACATTTTCATACTGTACTATCAACTTCGCACATTACATATATTTTAAAATTAATCCTCACAATTCATTTTCTAAATCTGGAATTTGGATGATACCTTGAAAACTAGCTCAAATTTGCGCGGAAAATGGCTTGGAAAAATGTGCACAGAACTTAACTTCTGCATGATACATTGACAATGGTTATATACAGTATCCAGATTAGATCATATTAATGAAGTAATAAATTCTATTCTAAATAATTAGGTCGTGGCTATGTTACACCACTTTGCAATGCATTTGAATATGGGCTTTTCACAGTGATGGTTAATATATATTTTCAATAAAAATTATCATTGATGATTAGTGCGAGAATGATTATAATTCCTTATAACGATATTGTAATATCAATACTAATTGTTTTTGAATGGTGTAAGAAGTGTCACTCTGATTTTTTTTTAACTAGTCTGTTCAAACTTTTTATTGTACTTCTTACAGGAAATGCCGACATGTTGGACATCGATGGCTTTCAATTAATCCTCACAATTCGTTTTCTAAATCTGGGTCACATATTTGCTTCATTCAAAAGGATTACTATTGAATGGGATTATACCATTTTGGTGGTGGACGACGATAGTTGCTTGTACCGGGTAGCACAGACACGAAGGGACCCTTAGGGGCAAAGAAAGTAATTGATCGAGTTCCTAGTCCACATTTCAAGCACCCTGAGCATCTTGCATTAGATGGATTTGTGCGCTATATAAAACTACACTATCATTATTTAATAATATTAAAGATATTTTGCAAATGAAACAGGTACAGTAATACTGGTACAGTATTTATTTATTTATTGTAAATTTGGCATGCAATATAAACCAGATGCACAAAATACAAAAACTTAAAAGTGTGGCATTTCAATATATCTTCAGAAAAAAAATCACTAGATAAATCATTTTAATTTAATTCTTTTGAAATATTTTGGGCTCAATCACTTGCTACAGAGCTCTGAGCATCGCCACCTTCTGCTAACCATGGATTGGAATTGTCCATTTCATCATGTCCACACAGATGGAACTGTTTGCATCACATCCATTTGAGCCTGTCATTTGCTCCTATTGAGAAATAAGTATACTTTAGTTACAATAATGCAAAACCAGGTTTGTTAAAAATCAAAAACTTTATCAAACATTGGCATTTGCTGCTATCAATAACATACCATACTGAGATACTGTTATTATACTAATCTGGAAAGACATTCATCAATTGACAGTATTTTCAGATTTTTTAATTACTTGATTGAAGCCTTTCTGTCTGTTAGTGTGTAATGTATTATTGTTGCTTCTTAATAAAACTGACACACCATGCTGATATTTTTTTACCATTCCAATATATTTGTTTCATGTACTCTGGCTGAACAGTGATGAGATATTCACTTAATTTTCTTTTGCACACCTTAAATTGTGTGTAGCTTTCATTACAAGTTTCAGCAAACAACCAGAGTGTTTCTTGCTAACGTCTTGGGTGCTTGTATGCTTTGTACCATGCCTTCTTTCGTAGATGCCAATGTTGGGTGGTTGTACTCATGGCAAATGTTGTGGTATGTTTGTTACATCATGGCGACTGGCAAATACTGTACCTATGTGGCCAGAGTGTTATGTTTCGGCATATCACATATCTTGTCCTACAAAAAAATATATATGCTGTATATATTTTATTTGAATTCCACATTTCAACAACAGTTGAAAGTTAGGTTTGGAGTAACATTGCACCATGTTATTATTTAATGGGGCGTTATTGTTGTGTATCCTAGCTTCTAGGCCTACAGTATATCAATAATAATCTTATTGTTACAGGAATTGGTGTTGGCTCTGATGATATACTGTAGTGTTATAGCACATCACCTTTATTTAGACAGCTGTGCATTTTTTAGACATTTAGGCCTAGGCAGTTTTTCATAGGACCAGGCCTATAACTAGGCCTTATAGTATTATTAGTAGGCCTACTAGGGGCCTAGGCCTATTATGAGAAAAAAATAATTAATGTGACAAAGTCGCCATGGCATGACAATTCTAGGCTAGTAGTAGAAACCTACTAACTTTACCGTCAGCTGGATAAGGCTGCGTGCGAACTCACCTGCTGCGGGACTGGAGCAGTGTCCTGGTCAGGAGTGCGCTGCTGCTGCTGGGTAGACACTGACTGTGCTAATCCTAGGCATAGGCCTAATTATAAACAAACAAGTCATCGGACTGATATACGTTTATTAATTCGATTGAATTATTCCTCCATGATTAAATTGACGTTGACTAAACCGTCTCTCTGTAACTTCACATTACTGTTATGTTGTCTAGGCTAGTTGCTCGATCGTCGGGACGATTTTTCGATCAGCTGCTCGCCAAAATTGACAGGTCTTGAATATTAATGAGTTGGTTAGAAATGCTACCAAGCTGCTGAAAAAAGTGATCAGCCTCGTTTTCACCTGATTTTCCCGTCTCATCACATCATGTTTTGTTTCTCTAATTATCGTTACATCTCAACGTTTAGAATTTTTGAAGTATTTTTCCCGAACTCAGGAAAGGTTAAATAAGCAATATATGGCCACTTGTCTTATCCCCGCACTTCCCCTTTAAAAAGCGGCCCTGTTAATAATTTTAGATATTATTATAGTCAAGATTAGATGGGCAGAGGCCTAATTCAACTAAGAATCCAGGGACAACAATGGTCTTTAATATCAGTAAGGCCTAGTTTAGTTGCAGAATATGCAAGTATTATTATAATCACAACATTAGAACCTTCATTCCGCCTGTTACCGGTATTAACATCCGGTCTGTTTTTTAATTGTCGCGAACTGCATAAATATTTCAAAGTAAACATAAAAGAAGGCGATTTATTTATGTTATGCAACTTCTTTATTTTGTTTTGTATATGTTGTTTCTTATGTTAGGTATGAATAAAAGTAACAATTCAAAAAAACATTATGGCGTATTTCTTATTGCATGACCAACATTTGTTGTGATCTACCCATTGTAAATGTGTATTGGTCGAATAAATATATGAAATGAATGAATGCATGACATGACGGATAATCACAAATTATGATGAAGGAATCCTTCGCGCTAAGTCTCATCTATCATAAATAGCGCCAGTGGACCACACTGTATGGGCATAATTTTCGAAATCCTAGTTCGCAGCATCGAGCGAAGTTTCTTAGTTTACAGTAGTGGAATTCTAATAAACTTTAATTGAACAACAAATTAGTATTGTATTTGCAGACTGTCAGTAAATGTAACATCTCTATGCATTAAATCCATCGCCTGTTTTATTTTTGCATTGATTAAAATACAAGCTCATACAACGACTGAATCGTGATAGGCCCACGTTCATGCTCACACAGACTTGAAAGTAGCGCATTTCAATAAAACAACTATTAAATAGTATTTTGTATTTTCAGACTGACAGTAAATGTAAATGCATTAAACTTCAGAATCTACTATCAATCACTTGTTTTATTCCTGCATTAAGTCAGATACAAAGCCCATACAAAGGCTGAATATCGAGGTGTTTCATCAAAATCGAACACTACGTTACTCGCTATGCTGGAGTTACTCGCCATGCTCGCGAGCGATGCACATAACAGCTGATCACTGAGGCTAACACAGGCTTGAAAACAGCGCATGTGCAAAATACTGTCTAATAAGGATGGTTATAAATAATTCATGGCATTACGCTACGCAAATTCGCCTGCTGCATACACAGTGGCGTAACGGTGGGGCCGGAGGCCCTGTGACTTTCTGAGACTGGGGACCCCTTTTGGGTTCCGGTCATCATTTTAGATGTGCTCGTTTTTAATTATTCTATTCATGATTGTCATTGTATTCTAAATGCTTTAACAACGAAATAAATTAAATGATATGAGACACATTATGCTGTTATGTACTGTATTAACAAATACAATGCTAACAAACAAATCTATGATGATTAAATGATTACAAAGGGAATTTATTTTCTTAGTATTTAATAAACAAGTCGTTATAATACCATAACAAAATATAAAAACACAAGTTTAAAACACACAAAACATGCACAGGTTAAGAGCAAGACTATAGGAATACTATAGTGTTATTTTACGTACGTTGAAATATACGAGAAATTTCTACGTTTGACGTTTTACGGCCTAACAACTAAATCTTTCAGCTCGGGATTTGATTTCAGCAAACGTGTATATTAGTTTATCGGTGTCTATAGACTGGGCCTCTTCATTTTCTATTGATATTAGAGACAGTGACTCCAGCCTTTCTTGTGCAATTGTCGATCTTAGATAATTTTTAATCATTTTTAACTTGGAAAATGATCTTTCTGCACTTGCAATGCTTACTGGAAGCGTTAAGAACAAAATACAGATGTTTGCTAGTTCTGGGAAGGAAGGCAGTAGTTCTTGGTCGTACAACATTTCCAGAACATCAGCAATGCTGTCTTTCCCTTGCAATTCGTCTTTGAAATTTCGGCGAAATGATTTAAATGATTTTTTTAAGATATAAGCTAAAGTTTCACACACATCAACCAGAGACACTGTGACTGGTAGGCTAGTGATCAAGTAAGCTAATCATTTCAATATTATGTCTATATTGTGTATTTCAGTGGGATAGTAACATTTATAAATAAAATTGTATCTTTGGGTTTTACTTTAAAATCTCTTCATCGCTTAGACGAAAGATATCAACCATTGGGAATGGAGTCACGTGATATCCCATCTGGTGATATTGAATCTTCGAGTAAATGGGATAATGCTCATGGTCCTCGTCGTGCAAGACTCAACAACATTAAAGATAGTGACGGAAGGGGAGCATGGAGTTCACGGTACAACACAAACAGCCAGTGGATCCAAGTCAACTTCAGAAAGTTAACGAACATATCTGGAGTGATAACTCAAGGACGTTCTGATGTAAGCCAATGGGTGGAATCATATCAAGTTCTGTACAGCACCAATGGAGATGATTGGTCAGTCATTCTTAATAGCCTCGGAACGCCTAAGGTACTGTACAGTAGATTGAGGATTTTTTTTCTATACCGGTAATAAATGTCCTAGATGTTAGATACGTGTTAGGTAGTAGACTAGAGGCAAATTTTTTTCGCTCTTACATATTTTCACATATTTACTGTCTATATTACATTGTTTGAGAATTACCGCAAAATAGAATTTATGTATATAAATTATATACTCTCACACATTGTGGAACTTTAGTTAAGCTAGAAAAGCTTGTATGGAAAATCATAATAAATTCTAATCAATTGATTGATAGAATGTGCGTGGGGATTAGCTATGCACGTCTAATGGTATGATACTCACCTTGATGGAGAAAGGTTACGGCCCAGATACACTTTTTTGTACAACTGGAAACAAAACATTTTCGATGAAAGGCTATGACTTGACACGATTATAACATCATGTTTCTTTTTCTAGCACTGTTCAGAGATCTGTCTTGTAAATTGTTGAGGGCGTATCATATTGATCGTGCCATATATCAAGGACTAGTGTTGTTAATACGCATGCTCATGAGTGTGAAATAATTAGGAGCTTCATTCGGATTAGAATTCCCAACAAAGCCTCAATGACCTATTTGGTTAAGACGTCGAATCCCGGTTGGGCTACCTATTTT